TTTACAGCTTTAAAAATAAATGCTTTTTTTTTTGTAATTATTAAAATTATAAGGGATCAAAATTCATTGTGTCGGGGGACAGGAAGCCAGAGTGTATTCATGCACGATAGGCTTATATTGAGGAAACCAGGTCGAATTACTGACCCGCTCAGGATGCAACCCCTATAATAAGCTGACTAACTTAACAGTACCTACTTACTACTAGGGTGAACAGGGGGGGCATTAGGTGAAAGGAAATGCGCCCAATTATTTCTGCCCTCGCCCGGGCTTCGAACCCAGAATTCTTGATTGTGCGTCGAGAACGAATCCAACTGTACTACCCGGGCCCTATAAACTTTTTAATTTTGCCCCGATGGGGGGGGGGTGTTTACTGGGCAGCGTCAATCATCCTGTGATTGAATATCTGTGTATATCTGTCTGTGTATATCAATAGAAATAAAAGAAAATATAATAAAAAATAAGAAAATAAATAAAGAAGAAAGACAAGAAAATTCCATCAATAGGAAGAAAACCCGCTGGGTTGTTCACTTGTTCATCCTACCACTTGTACACCAATACGCAGCTGGAGGCCTGGTCGACGACCGGGCCGCAGGGTCGCTAAGCCCCGAAATCACCTCAAGGTAAGGTAACTGTATCAAGTCATCAATTGATCAAACAAGAAGAACTACCATACTTACCATCCCTTAAGCTTACATACAGCGCCTAAGAATACATAGATACTTTACATTCATATTGATCAAACTTCGTATAAGATAAATATATATGTAGCGAATGTTTACTAGAATTTAATAGGCAGCCAGGTGTCGCTAAACATCTGTCGGACAGTTTGTTGACCTGCCGTAAGGTCAACAAACATCATCCGCCGATAAGCGACGTGTTGCCGCAAGGTTTCTAGTTTACACTTTCACTCGGGAACGACGGAGCCACTAGCCAAGGGCAAACCTGCCAGCGCGGTCACCCATCCAGTCATTAGACTGACATTTAGTATTTTACCGACTGGCCGACCACCATTGCAGGCCAAGCTGCAACCAGGCGGGTCTCGTTAAATCTTCCAATTTAAGGTAAGTAGTGTGGACGGTTTTATGTTATGTGCGTTCGTGTTTATAACAGCAGGGAAACTCGAAGCTTCCTGGATTACAAAGACTCTGATTAAAGTGATTTCATAGGTAATTTTATTTTGTGTAAAGCCACTTAACACAGGCACGTCGCTGGCTATGTCAATTTAACCCCTTAGGATATGGCCAGTAAGTGAATAGCCGACAATGTGTACACAGGCTTTCCAATTAGGAATAGTCTCCAGAGGCAATGCCAATTTGAACATAGTCTACCCTTATTATTACAGTTTTCTTTCAAATAGAAAAGTGTTGAATTTTCTGTTTCTCTTTAACAGTGACTTCAAATATTAAGTAACACTTGTCAGACAGACACAGTAACAGTACATAGCACACTCGAAGACCACACGACACATAATAACACTACATTCCGCACACTTATATCCATAATACAATAAGATAGTTATATTGTATTATCAGCTATCAAATTATCAGATTATCAAATCTGCTATCAGAACTATAACAAACTCTGTTTTCAGACAACACATAGCCCCCTCTGTTTAAATCCCTTAACATGCTAAACATACACTCATTCCACACATTCTCATGTGCTACTTAAATGTACAAAACCTTGTTCCTAAATGCTAATCTTGCTCTGAAATGCTAATCTTGCTATTGATTTGCCTTGATAGGTGTAATAGAACCAATGAGCACCACACCAGAAATAAATATATCTTTAATATCCACAGAGTCAAGCTAAATCTATGCAAACACTCCACGAAACTAAAAGGGCCCAGTCTTTGGAACTCACTCTCTGATGAATTAAAAAAAATGTTCCAACCAATTCCTTGTTCAATAGTAAAACCAAAAAGTACCTAATTACATCCTCATAGTTTCCTACCTTGTGCTTCAAACTCACACTGTATCCTGTACTACCCACTTCCCCAATATTAGTCCTTAAAACTAATTAAGTACTTCATCTCTACCATATGCAGGCGATGAGTCACAGTAACGTGGCTAAAGTAAGTTGACCAGACCACACACTAGAAGGTGAAGGGACGACGACGTTTCGGTCCGTCCTGGACCATTCTCAAGTCGATTGTGAATGGTCCAGGACGGACCGAAAGGTCGTCGTCCCTTCACCTTCTAGTGTGTGGTCTGGTCACCATCATCTCTACCATTGTAATCACCGCTGTTAATTTATAGTGTTGATATAAAACCTTGCTACAATGTACCCTTTCATCTTATCTGATATGTTAGATTAAGGACCTGCCCGAAACGCTATGCGTGTTAATGGCTTTGCAAGAATGTAAAAATATCACTCTAATGTAATCTCACCAACTCATTGTACCTTCTTGTAAATAAAATATTATTATTATTATTATTATTATTATTATCATTATTATTGAATAAATTGAAAGACATGATCTAGACCACTTCTTTATGAAAGGTTCAATGTAATTCACATAAGGGGCAACATAATAATAATAAGAATAAGAAATTTTATTAATTTACAATTAAAACAATTATAGATACATGGGTTACATACCACGCAGTTACAGCCAAAATTTCATTTGGTTTAATAATTCAGAAAAAATTAAAGGTATAATGGGTAAACACTTAATGCTTAATTTATTATTAATACTTAGGGAGAAGGTAAGATAATTATCAGGAGAAAGCACTAAGCCATTACGGCTATATAGCACTTGGAAGGGATATGAGGATAATGATTTGGGATGGGACGGAGGAAAGGAATGGCACTTAATGAGAAGAAATCAGTTAACATTTGTGAGATGTTCAAGAAATATGACAAATGATATACAATACAGAAGCGATACTCAATGATGACAGGCCTAGACTACTACATAATAGAATCTTAAACGTTTCTTGGTACTGTTGTTAAAACTTAACAGTATTGATAAATAACAGCAAGGATATGCAAAGGCGAATTTTAGAAAGAAATTTTTGAAATTTTTTCAACACCAAATTGCTCACCAGATCACCAAATTACACTCAGTAACACCACAAAGGCCCCTTCCCCCGTATCACCATAATTTCACACAAAACAAAAGCCCCAGTGCACAATACAACACCAAGAAGCATGCGACAGCACCACATCTAACACACATTGCCCTTTAAACCAATAAATATCGGGTTTAACAAACACTTTGGGGCCCTGTAACACGTAATTATGGTGCAGTTGATAGCTGAGGTTTGGCAAAGTTTAAATTGTCGAATAAGAATGTTCCTAGTTCCACCTGGCTGGTGGAACTTAATTTTCAAAGTCTAATAGGCAGTTAAACTGAATATGTACAACTTTTAAGGTACGTTGGATCGTCCTTGTCTCCACGTGTGTCCGTCCGAATATGCGCCTGTCCGTATGTCTGTTTACTAGCCCGCCCTTCTCTCTGTTTACCAGTCCGTCTGTCCGTCTACCAGTCCTTTCTTTTATCTGTCTACAGCTCGTCCTTCTGACTGTCTACCAGTCTGTTCTTCCGTCTATCTACCAGCTCGTCCTTGCGAGGTTGTTTAGGTCGTCGTCTGCTGTAAACACACATGAGGCCATCCTTTCCGTTAGTCCTTCACTCCAACCTTGATCAATTAAACTCCACATACAGTATGGGACCCAAGAGCTGAAGTTTGATTACTTAGAACAGATAAGAGCAAGTTTAAGCGTCGCAAACTCTAATCAGGTCAGTAAGATCAAGCTCACAAAGCAATCCGTGCCCTGGATTCGCTACTCCGCAAACAAATGCATCTGTTTTGTCTAACCAGAAAGGCACGAATAGCCCATTCTGTGGATTTGCCCCAGGGGTCATGTATTGCCTTAGGCACAATAGCTTACGTAGTCAGATGAGGAGGCTTGATTGATCAGACAGAGCTCAAGTACAAGTACGTTTATTGAAACAGTAAAATACATCTCAAAAGGAAAGAGTTGCCTAGGCTATTTCTACCCCTCCCATCATACAGTTAAATTGTCGTTTACCTCGCCTTTCCTGCGTCGTTTCGATGTGAATGAGTTTGGACATTTCTCCTAGGGCTATGAAGGCGTGTAGTTATGTCGAGAGACTTTACAGTCTATGGAATACATTTTCCTGTTACCTGAACCATTCTGACAGTATACTTTTGCACAATGGAATCACAAGAACGTGAGGTAATATATATATATACATATATATATATATATATATATATATATATATATATATATATATATATATATATATATATATATATATATATATATATATATATATATATATATATATATAATATATCTGTTCCATGTGAGACCTCTCTTGGTTAGTATAGCATTATGATGGTGCGAAAAATCACAGCTTGATCGCTGTGGTTAAACTGTCTCAGGATATATTCAGTAACGAAGAGCCGTCAGTTAATCCGGAGGATGTCGCTGCTATTATCATTCACTAACTTTAATAAGTGCCCTCTTAATTTTGACATTTGTAGCTAAGCGATACTGAAAAATTGCATCAGTTCTGACCTTTAAGAATATGATTTCGTATTAACGAGACTTAACCAGATCTATTACGGCATTTGCTTATGTGTGGGACAATAAATCTGGTGACGTCAAACAGTGGCGTAATACAAGATTTGGTGACGTCACCGATTCATCAACCAATCACAGAAAGTCTGTGTGTTAGAGCAGCTATTTCTTCGGGTATAGTATAGCCTTAAGAGCTGAAGTGGAGAGTAGTTTCTCTGCGGGGGCTGAGAAGGTAAGTCGTGCTTTACTGAAGGCTCTTAAGCATACAGCTTCGTCTTGCCCCTTCTTCCCGTTCTTCTTTGTTTCCTTTGACCTCCTCATGCACTCAGAAGTAAATTCTTAAGCCCCAACCCCTTCTCCCATTATGTGCAAAATCAACAATACTGAAGATGCACTTCTCGCAGGGTTGAGAAACCCATTAATGTGTTGACTTCCCCAGGGAGGGAGGGAGGCAGGCGTGATGGAGGCGGTGACGGTGTTCCTGAAGGTGGCACTGGCGGAGGTCGCGTCTCTGGCAGTCGCCAACGCACGCTCACCTCTCAGCTCAGGTGAGGAGGCCGAGGAGGAGAGCAAAAAGGAGGGGAAAGGCTCAGGAAAAGGAGAGAAAACCAGTTGAGGATGAGAAATGCCAGAAGAAAGAGGAGGAGGAGAAGACACAGTGGGATCAGAAGGTGGCGGAGGGCAAGTAAGATTAAACAGAAGTATTATTCTTGTGGACCCAAGTTTTTCATGTGTGGGGGAAAAAATACATTATTTTCCTTTATAGTGGAGGAAACAAGCCTCAGTGAACATGTACAGTATATCTGTAACGGGAAACTAACAGAAGATGAAAAGTAAGAAAAAGAAGAAAAAGAAGACAAAATCATTATGTTGTGTTGATTTAGGAGCGACGACGATCGTGGGATCGGATGCGCCCCCACCAAAAAAAAACATTATTTTATAATTATTATTTTTGTTTATGTCAAGAGTGTTATTGTTAGCACAATTAAACGTTTAATAAATTAAACGTTTTAATAATTAAAAACTGTGATTGGTGTACAGTATCTGCAGTGTTCAGGAAACAAAGACCCGATTGTGCCGAGTTATTGATCTATTGGAGGGTCCTAGTAATGAGTTACTAGCAATAATTGCGCTGTTTCTTGTGCTAGTTTACACGCTAACTTGTCCTAATCTCCTGCCAGTGAATTTAGAGAGATACTAGTAATTTAAATTTCTAGCGCTAGTTATCGTGTGCTAATTGTTACCTAATTACTGCCTTCATTAGTTCGGAAAGTAATTGCGATGAATTACTACTGATTATTACAGTGTTTTCTTGTTCCTTACTACCTCTAATTAATCAGTTGTTAGGGGTTTCACTAGCACTAGTTAAGGTGGTCAATTGTCCTCTAACGACTCAAGTGGGTTGGAATGTGCTAGTAATAAGCTATTAGTGCTTGTCAACTGGCAAATTAGTCTTTAATTACCCCCACAAGTTGTTCTAGCGGTGCCAGTGACATAGACCTACAGCGATGGTCTCGCTTCTTGCAGGTCGGGGTTCAATCCCCCGATGATCTAAGTGGTATGGCACAGTTCCTCCACTTCTGCCTCCTATCTCCCCTCTCCTGTTCCCTCCTCATAGCCCTTCCAAGTGCTATGTGGTCATTCCGGCCTGGCGCTTTCTCCTGAGTATTATCTTATCTTAGTGCTAGTTAGTCCTCCCCCCCCCCTAGTTATAGTGTTAACTAGTTACTCCTTGCCACCCCTTAGGGAATCAGATGGTGCTGCCAGACGCTGGGGGCGCTGTTCGGTCAGTGTTGGAAGCCTCTGTCATGCCGTACAGCTCTGTTCTCTTGTTTACCGATGGCGACACTTCCGCTCACACAGTCTACAAGGTGAGATCTGTCCATGTCTGTCTACATATCTGTCTACATGCCTGTCTCTCTCGATTTGCTTACTGTCTGTTGATGTGTATCCTAATCTATATAATCTGTCTGATCCTCGGTTTGCACCTCTGGTCCACTCTCTATGCCTGTCTGTCTGAATGTATAGAGCGTAGCATACATCTGAATCTGTAGCTCGGGTCTGATGGTCTGTATAAGTGTCTGTCATTATCTATGCCTTCAATCCAGTCTGTTTGTGGGTATGTATGCCTGTCGCTTGGTCTGTCTGTGGGTATGTATGCCTGTTGCTTGGTCTGTATGCCTTTCTGTCTGTATAAGAATGTGTCGGCCCAAGTAAGGACGATATAAAATGTTAGAAAACACAGGTAGATTAATTTTAATATTTGTTTAAATCTGCACAGGCGATGAGGGAGATAGTGGTGGCGCCCTTTGGTGTTGGAGTGATGGAGGTGGAGACAAGTGGGGGAGAGAACGAAACCCTTCACCATCACGTGGCGTCAGTAGTCCGGCTGGCTAGAAGCGTAGGTCTCTGGCAGTTGTTCGAAGCAAATTGTCAAGGTTTAATATAAACAAAATCATTGTTTTAGAATTGCAGAAAATGTCATTCAGTGTCCCAGCCTGGACCCCCCTTGATTTCTTACTAATTCTAATCCTTTACTAAATTCTGATCCTTTACTGACTCATCACTCTCTCTCTCTCTCTCTCTCTCTCTCTCTCTCTCTCTCTCTCTCTCTCTCTCTCTCTCTCTCTCTCTCTCTCTCTCTCTCTCTCTCTCTCTCTCTCTCTCTCTCTCTCTCTCTCTCTCTCTCTCTCTCTCTCTCTCTCTCTCTCTCTCTCTCTCTCTCTCTCTCTCTCTCTCTCTCTCTCTCTCTCTCTCTCTCTCTCTCTCTCTCTCTCTCTCAATTAAGACCCCTTCTTGCCCTTCACTACTGACCTTTCCCGTTCCTCTCTCTCCCGCTACCTAATTCCTGCAATCTTACTCACCCACTTAGCCTTCCCTCACGCCCCTTTACCCACTTCCTCTCTCGCCAGTAGTTCCGTGACATGGTCTGGCTCCTGACGGTGGTGGTGGTGAGCGACGACCCCGCCTTCCTCTCCGCCTTCGCCGAAGTCGCCGACGAGGAGCGCCTGCTGGTGTGGTCGACGCGGGTCCTTGTGGTCAGCAACCTAGACCTAGGAGACCTGGCCCGCCTGCTGGCCTCCTACCGGGCCTTCGCCACCATGAACGTGATGGCTGTCACCCCGGAGGAGGAGGAGGAGGGGATGACACCAGGGGCTCTCAGGTGAGCAGGCAGAGCTCTCCTTTTATCTAAAAGTACAGTACATATATCTTTGTGTGTGTCCTTGATTTCTATGAATTTGTATACGTTTGTGTCCCTTATAACCGTCCAAGTGGTTGGGCATCATTCTTTCCCCTCCCGTCCCATCCCAATACTTATCCTGACCCCTTCCCAGTGCTATATGTAGTCGTAATGGCTTGGCGCTTTCCCCCCTGATAGTTACCTTACCTCGTTTTTTTCTGTGTCTCACCTGGAGGCCCCGCGGGATCGTCCTCCACCTGCCACACTCGCCAGGAGGGAGCAAGACGACCCGTGTAGCGACCTGGACCCCGTCAGGAGGACTCGTCTACCACTCCAGCCTGTTGCTCTTTCCACAAAAGTATGACAAGTGAGCCGCTTCCACGAGGCTTCCGTAAGGCAAAGACGATCAGCTGTGAAGTGGTTACGGTGCCCTGTATTCTATGGGGTTCTATCACTTAAAGAGTTCTAAGTGATATGAAAATAAATATTATTTATGTGACAAAGTAAATAGTATTTATTGATAACTAGAAAAGCAAAGACAAAAGGTAACTTATACATGAGTGAGGACCTCAATATGCCAATCACTTTCAGTCGCCCGTCTTGTTGCAGTTTCTACGGAGGCCCGGTGACGGTGGCGGTCCTCCACGCCCCTCCGTACTGGATAGAGACGGAGGAGACTTCCCCCGAAGGCGCCACCGTCAAAAGGTTCTCGGGACGGGACTGGCTCCTGCTGGTGTCGGTGGCGCGAGCTCTCAATTTTACCATTAGTCACCTGCCTTGCAAGGACTGGGCGGAAGTAAGCGACGTGGGATGCTTATGTCTGCGGCCTCCTTGTCTTCTCTTGTTTACCGTTATATAGTTTGCCTTCCTGTTTGTGCTTCAGTCTGCCTTCATATTTGTATGTTGAGTTCCCGTTTTCTACATATTTAGCTGGCTCTACTGGTAGACTCAGTCAATTTCAATATTTTGTATTTTATGTGTTATTTCACATTTTCTCTCTTTCTGTGTAATGGAATTTATAAAAGCCACTATTTTCTCCTTGGCTATTATGTCCAGTGATGTTTTGAAGAATAAGAGGACCTTTCAATGTCCCTATCAAGACTACAACGTACATAAATCCTTTATAGAGCACTCCCATCGAGAGACAGGTAAGCCATCTTGTCCGGGATATTTTACTTGCAAACGCCCAGAGAAATATTTTCTTTTGCAGGCGATGGACCGCATCAAGGACAGGTCAGCGCTCATCTCCCCGGCCGTGTACGTGGTGATGCGGCACCTGCTGGCGACCAGGGACTACACTGTGTCTATAGAGCCGGATACACTCACCTTCAGCATGGCCGCCCCGTCCCACGCCCCCAGCTGGGTGTCCATCTACTACCCCTTCACTTTCACCGTCTGGCTTCTTATCCTGATGGTGCTCGTGCTTGTTCCCGGTTCGCTGTTGGTGGTGAGCCGATAGTTAGTGGTGTTAATGTGCCGAGTAACCAATGGGTATTCACCAAGTTGTGCTTGTGGGGGTTGAGCTCTGTCAGTGGCGTGTGTGTGTGTGTGTGTGTGTGTGTGTGTGTGTGTGTGTGTGTGTGTGTGTGTGTGTGTGTGTGTGTATTTCCTATTTACATTAGTTATTAATGCCTGCAGGCTCGAGCTGTTAGCTCTTGGACCCCGCCTTTCTAACCGTCTAACCGTCTGACAACCGACAACCGGTCGGTTGTCCTATAGGCTAAGATAAATAGGAGCATCTGGTGAAAGAAACTGCCCATTTGTTTCTGTCTTGGCCAGAAATCGAACCCGGGCCCTTAGGATTACGACTTCCGAGTGCTGTCTGCTCTGCCTCACCCGGGTGTGTGTGTGTGTGTGTGAAAAGAGAGAGAGAGATAAACAGAAATTTGGAGAGGAAAGAATTCACCAGAAACTCACTCATTCTAGCTAAGCCGTACTGGCGAAGTCGTCCCAGAGGCAACTGCCGAAGGTGCTAGTGTCAACACGTGGCGAGGTTCGATCCTGCAGGCGACATTTCGAGCGGTGCAGGAGACGACTGGTACACTACTAGGGCAGGGCCTCTCCAGGAAACTTCCCAGCTCCACTCCCTTCAGAATCCTCCTGGGGGTGTGGCTGGTCTTCGGCCTGGTCGTGTCGACTGCCTACCGGGGCAACCTTACCGCCTTCCTCACTGTGCCCAAGTACTCACCCAGAGCAGAGACGCTCCATCAACTTATCGAGAGTGGGGCCAGGTGAGTAAGGGGCGAGAGGAACCAGGTGAGTGACAGAGTATGAGTAATGGGAAAGAGTTGCCAGAGTGAAGGAAGGCGAGCAAGGGGAGAGAGGAGCCAGATGAGTAGAGAGTAATGAAGGAAAAGGAAGAACACAAACATAACACGAAGCCTGTTCGTCAGAGGACCGGGGGACGAAGGCAGAGTGTGTGTGTGAAAATCAAACTTTAGGTCTGGACACAATATAGATTCATTTGGATACTTATGGAGGATTTATTTAAACTATATATATAATATGAGTTAATTTGAGCCTGCGACCTCCTCAGAGCGACAGTGCCCATGGATGACGGAGTCGATCTCATCAAGTTTTTCGGAAACTCGGGCTCCAGGGACTTCCAGATCCTCTCTAGACGAGTCTACATGGTCCCGGACACCATGAAGGGTCTCCGGCAGGCCATGGAAAGGAAGTGAGTTCGATTCTGGAGAAAAATAGAGGAAGATAGGCAAGAGATGGCAACTGAGGGAGAGAGGTGGACTAACTGAGGGATTATTATTGTTATTGTTATTATTAATCTCTCTTAATATCATTCCACCATCATCACTATCTTTCCTAACAGGCCTCCCGCCCTGACAGGGAGGCCTACCTGTACATACGCAAGTTCTTGGAGGCGATGATCGCTCAGTACTTCACGGACAAGAACGGCCGGAGTGGCTTGTACGTGGCCCGGGAGAACATCTCGCCCGGGTTCGCCGCCTGGCCCATCATCAGGGACGCCCCCTTCAAGCAGCCACTGGACCGGTGCCTGGTGGCCCTAGTAGAGGTGAGTGGTGGAACGGCTATCGGAGGCCTAATACCGGCCTCAGATAGCCTGTATTAAGCATTACGGGCTCACCATAGCCCGTGCTACATGGACATTTCGTTTTAAGTAGCTAAATCTAAAACAACAACAATGACCTTGTAAGCCTCGTAGAGAATGAAGTCCTTACTCATTGTGAGTGTCGGACTATAGGGGTCAGGTGATACGGGTGATAGTTGCCTAATGCAATGGCTCTCTTTCCTCTTGATCAAAGGAGGTTCATCAAACAGCTGGATGTAAATTTCAAATGAGTGTTAATCAACGCGGAAGGTCACGAATATAGGTGGCTTCAAGTGTACGCAGCCTCCTCCGTGCACTGGTGCGTGTGACCATTGGTCCTGTTTACGACGTACTGACGATGCAGGATGGTGTTGTGGATCAGTGAATGGTGTTGTGGATCAGTGAATGGTGTTGTGGATCAGTGAATGGTGTTGTGGATCAGTGAATGGTGTTGTGGATCAGTGAATGTTGTTGTGGATCAGTGAATGTTGTTGTGGATCAGTGAATGGTGTTGTGGATCAGTGAATGGTGTTGTGGATCAGTGAATGGTGTTGTGGATCAGTGAATGGTGTTGTGGATCAGTGAATGGTGTTGTGGATCAGTGAATGGTGTTGCGGATCAGTGAATGTTGTTGTGGATCAGTGAATGTTGTTGTGGATCAGTGAATGGTGTTGTGGATCAGTGAATGGTGTTGTGGATCAGTGAATGGTGTTGTGGATCAGTGAATGGTGTTGTGGATCAGTGAATGGTGTTGTGGATCAGTGAATGGTGTTGTGGATCAGTGAATGGTGTTTTGTTCCTTTTCCTAGCAAATAAAAGTGTGTGACGCCTACTCAGGGGGTTAGTAGTAGGCCCAACGTTTTAATGTTGTGAAGCACACAGTCTCTATAACTGCATCTTTTATATATATACCACTTTGTACATTTCAGCTTGTCAGAGATGGCGGAAATGGTGTATTTTATGTATGTTAGGCGCTTTAATTGAGAGGACTCTAAACAGGAGGAATTCACCGATGTGGAAAACATCGGTGAATTCATATTGGCTGAATCATATTGCTCCTTTCTCATGAACTTAAGGCAACTGAAACGGTATCCAAGTCTGCATGGACATGGGTTTCAGAATTACAGGATATATGGAGTGAGACAAGGTTAAATAATCTGGACCAAACAACGGTTGACGAGAGGAGGAGGAGGAGGAGGAGATACGATTAATAAATATCAGAGATGGAAATTGACAGGGTGAAAAAAGACTATGTTCACAATAATTATTTAATAGTGCAGGAAGATATGAGATACAGAAAAGCCATAAAAATGTGAGAAAGTATTGGTTTCTTGTAAGAATTTGAATACAATTATTACCTAAATTCACATACACGACAAATCTAAACACATAAGCACTTACATTCACTCATACAGACTCATACAAACACGCACTCAAAGTTACTCGCCTCGACAGTATCTTCCTCATCCAGGCAGGGTTGTCGGAGAAGTGGATGAATGACATGCTGGACGATGCCAAGAGGGCGAGCAGGATGAGAGATCGCGTCACCCTCCAGCATCCGGACGCCATGAAGGACGCCACATTCCAAGAGCAGGAGGACCTTCGCCCCTTGTCACTCACTCATATTCTTGGCCCTCTGGTTTGTCTGGTGCTGGGCCTTCTGCTGTCCCTTGCCTCCTTCATGCTGGAGATGCTAGTGACCTTTGTGGTTACAACTAGTTAGGGAGCCTCGGGATTGAGGTTGAGCTCCTCAGCCTGGTGCTCCTAATGACGATGTCGTTTCAAGATAGTCCTGCGCTTATTCTTCAAGTCTCAAGGCAAACCTTTAACATCCATACATCTTTCAACACTTTGTATTTGTACTCAATATCACAATTATTAACACTGTGGATTATTGTGTATATACACAATAATACACAATGAAAAAATCCGTAGGAGCCATGAAGAGGATTCGAACCAATGCGGTGGGTATTCCCAGTCACACACACACACACACACGCTTTAGTCCACAACATGGTCAAAAGAATTGCAACCTGTGGTACTACTACTGCACCCACGAGACTTTCTTGAGGCTTCCACTAAAGCAGAACCAGGGTTTCATACAATCCCCTAATGCACTCCGGTTCTGTCATCTAGGAACGTTCTACCTCTGACGCTCTTCTTTCCATACACAGAGAGTAATCACACTCACTTGAGTGCATCAATGAGAAAATCCGTAAGAACCAGATGGGAGGAAAATCTCCAACGAATTTTCTCATTGATGCAGTCACGTTAGTGTGACTACTCTCTCTGAATACACAATAATATCATTGAATTTTATAACGATATGCATAAATAAAGGAATGACGTGAATTGTTGTGTTTACAATCAGTTATACAATTGTTCCTTTTATAACCTAATTTGCATTATGAATCCTAAAGGCAAATTTTAGACTGTCGGATTCATTTGATGTCATCGGCTGCATTAGAATCCATCTAGCGCAATATATAAACTATCAACTCCATTAGAAACAGTTGGAGACATTAGAAACCATTTCCCCCCCCCGTTAGAACACATTAGAAATCATTATCCCCATTAGAAACCACTAAACACACTAGAAACCAATATCCACCCATTAAAAGCAACTGGACACACTAGAAAAGAAACCTTTACCTCTCAGTATAAATCACTGGACACACTAGAAACCATTAATTCCCCATTAGAAACCACTGGACACTTTAGAAAAAAACAACCCCATTGCAAACTGTTGGATACATCAGAAACCATTAGAAACATAGTGGAACCATCAACCCCATTAGACAAATTATAAACCCCATTAATCACTCAAACCCTCAGCCACCAACCCCCATTAGAAACCACCGGACACAATATGAACTATCAAATCTAGAAACGACTAGATACATTATAAACTATTAACCCCATTAAAAATAAATAGACACCACAGCAAAAATTAGACCAGAAAACGATAACAATATAGGCAGTCAGTATATCGTCAGTAAGGATGGTTTCTGTGAGTATATCGTCCAGTGTTGGGATGGTTTCTGTGAGTATATCGTCCAGTGTTGGGATGGCTTGAGTGAGTATATCGTCCAGTGTTGGGATGGCTTGGGTGAGTATATCGTCCAGTGTTGGGATGGCTTGGGTGAGTATATCGTCCAGTGTTGGGATGGCTTGGGTGAGTATATCGTCCAGTGTTGGGATGGCTTGGGTGAGTTGATCGTCCAGTGTTGGGATGACGTTTAACAAGTCAGTTGAGAGTATTATGTAATTCATTACTATTTTTAATAATATTAGTATTATTCTTTATTACTAATATTATCACAAACAAGTAATATCAGTAGCACTGGTAGAATTGGCAGTAGCAAGCACAGCAATAAGGAGAGTAGCAGCACTAGTAAGTAGCAGCACTAGCGAGTAACAGCACTAGCGAGTAACAGCACTAGCGAGAAACAGCATTAGCGAGTAGCAGCACTAGCGAGTAACAGCACTAGCGAGTAACAGCACTTGCGAGTAACAGCACTAGCGAGTAACAGCACTAGCGAGTAACAGCACTAGCGAGTAGCAGCACTAGCAAGTAACAGCACAAGCGAGTAGCAGCACTAGCGAGTAGCAGCACTAGCGAGTAACAGCACTAGCGAGTAGCAGCACTAGCGAGTAGCAGCACTAGCGAGTAACAGCACTAGCGAGTAACAGCACTAGCGAGTAACAGCACTAGCGAGTAGCAGCACTAGCGAGTAACAGCACTAGCGAGTAGCAGCACTAGCGAGTAGCAGCACTAGCGAGTAGCAGCACTAGCGAGTAACAGCACTAGCGAGTAACAGCACTAGCGAGTAACAGCACTAGCGAGTAGCAGCACTAGTAAGTAGCAGCACTAGCGAGTAGCAGCACTAGCGAGTAACAGCACTAGCGAGTAACAGCACTAGCGAGTAACAGCACTAGCGAGTAACAGCACTAGCGAGTAGCAGCACTAGTAAGTAGCAGCACTAGCGAGTAGCAGCACTAGCGAGTAACAGCACTAGCGAGTAACAGCACTAGCGAGTAACAGCACTAGCGAGTAACAGCACTAGTATTGGCCAAACACTCTTGCATGCTTTTCCAACACCTCCCTATAGAGTCAAAATTTTAAGCCCCTCTCGTCTTATTATTGCATTAACCAGACCTGGGAAGCCTTGCCTGGCTTCCCAGAGTCACCGGCGGCCGAATACTTCACTACATTTTCTTCAATGTATTTTTCTCCATTTTAATGTTCTTTTTTTGCCTATTTGATGCAATTTTCTAGCGTGAGTGTGGTAGGACAATCTTCTGCATCAGCGTGCAGGAAATAAGAGAAATTTCTAGCACAAATATTAAATAAAATGGGAAAATAGAAAATATTGTCACCGGCTTCTCTCGAGAGATTTTATTTGGAGCGGCGAAGTCTCCGTGGCTGCTCCTGCCTCATTCTCGCCTAGAGAGTCCTAGAGAGCTGTACTCAGGCTTGGACTTGGCTCTAGTACGCCACTGAGTCAAATTTCCACCTCACAGGCTGCTCTAAAGAAAGTTACCGTGCTAGAAATTAACCCTATTAGAACCTCTAATGAGGTTC